CATCGTGTGTGTACATTCCCTGTCTGTCTGTCTGTCCCATCTGTCTATTAGCTACCTCTGTATCTGTCATCTAGTTCTACTGCCATCTGTCTAGGAATCACCTGTGACTACGAATGAGGCATCTTTGAATGTTCGCTGAAATATTCTAGTCTTCAGCTTTTCTGTTGGCTGGGAAATTTCCAAAACAAACACCTGAAGGGAGGAGTAGGCTGCAAGACTGTTTGAAGAATGTTGTTTTATCTTTTAAAATAGAAGCCCATAGGTATGTTTTAGAGGCCTGAAAGGGCACACATGAGGGGTTAGCAGTTTTCATTTCTTTGTCTTTCCTTATTTGAAAAATAGTTGTAGAAGTAATCACTGTTCAGATGAATCAGAAAATTAAAATAAATGGAGGACAAATTAAAATCATGAATAATCTCAGTGAGCACTCCTGCAGGAAGTTGCTGCATGACCTTCTGGCATATTTCGGGGCATATATGTGTGTGTGTGTGTGTGTGTAATTCTGTGTATTCTTTTCCTGCCAAAATAGAACTCATGATATACACATAGTTTGATAACTTGCTTTTTGCACACTCTCACTCTGTTTTATAAACATCTTCCCACCTACTACACAACATTTATTGCTTGCATATGGATTAGAGTTTTGTAAGGCGTTGCTTATTTGAATGTTCCAGATTTTCTGGATAATAATGACAGTGATGATTTTCAACACTTACTGTGAGCTCATTAAGAACCAAGCACTGTTCTAAGTACTTCCATGAATTAACTCTTTAATCTTCACAAGTCTCCAAGGTGGGTCTTACACCCATCTTACAGATGAGTACTCAGAGGATGTAGGAGCCCAGGCCATCGGAGTGCACAGTCCACATATCAAACAATTCCATACACTGTTTTGGCAATGAGCATGACATTTTGTTGAAAAAAGGCAATATTCCGTTTTCCATACCAGATAGCTCAGGTCCTGGGAGAAGCTGCAATTTCAGAGAGCTCCCGCTCTCTGAGAACTCGGCCTCCAGGCCAGCGCCTCATCTCTGAGGAAGGCACGTTCCTGAGTGTGGTGTGGCAAAGCCGAGATGCATGCGATGGGATGACAGCGACCAGATCGCTGTGTATTTCACAAGCCCGCCCAACCAGGGCACAGGTCCTGGGCTACTCTGTCCTCTCAGCCCGGTGCAGAGTCACCTGGGCAGATGTCACAGAACGGGGCAGCCATTCAGGTGCCTGATCTGTTGAGTATTTAGCAAGAAAGGGCCTGCACATGAATGCATCACTGGATTCGTCAGCTGGGAGCAGCAGGACTAGGTTCTGGAAACCCCTGTTCGTGTGTGCAGTGTGTGGCGTGTGCAAGTGTGTGCGAGGGGAGTGTGCCCTCTGTAGTGCAGTAAATGAGATCCTTTTCCCTCCAGCTCTGAGAACATGGATCTTGAGGCGAGCGTGGCAGAGGTTGGTCAATACCATATGCAAATAAATAAGTGCTAATTGCCTGCAGTGTCTTTGGGTGTCAGGTGCAGTTATCGGACCACATTTATGGGCCAATTAGTCGCCTTACTGGACTTGAATGGTGATAAATTGTGGCTTGGCGGCTCCGCGGAACGTGCTGGGGACGGCGCTCCGTGCTGGCTGCTGGCGGCCAACGGGAGGGTTTGTCCCTGCACAGCCTGGCTGGACCCCCTGGGTGGGGGCTGCTCAGGGCTCACCAGGGGACCCAGGGGACCCAGAGACGGGGGCCTCAGAGAGCCCCGCACATCCACACCTAGACCCTGGCCCTGGGCCACAGGTCACGGCTAAGGTTCCACCAAAGTGCCTTGGGACGGCTTCGGGGTAGGGGAAGACATGACCACCGGGCAGGATGGGTAAGGCCTGAAAGGCGGAACCACCCAGAGAACATGTGCCAGGGGACCACTGGCGCCTGAGCGCTCCAGCAGGGCCCGGCCGTCGCTGGACGGGGCCTCTACCTGTCTCTATGTGCCTTCATCCGGGCGCTATTTGGGCTGGGCCCTGGGGGTGACCAGACAGATCCACGGTCATGGAACCCAAGTCGGGTACAGGAGCCGGGTGAATTACCCCACAAAGAAACTCAAAGTGAGGGTCAAGGAGAACCAAATGCAAGCTGGGGGCCCGGCTGAGCTGGGGGTTAGGGTGGGGAAGCCTCTTCGAGGAAGAGTCATGTCATGGAGACCCCAACATGAGAAGGAGTTGGCCACGGACAGGGGTGCCTTCCCAGGGAAAGGAAGAGGTGGACAGAGGTCCAGAGCAGGGAGGGAGGCCAGGACGGGGGTTGTGGCTGGAGCTGAGGGTGCCGGGCAGAGGGGCGGGGGGAGGGGCATGGGCGAGGTGGGAGGGCAGGGCAAGGAGACCATGGGGCCACCTTTAGGACTGTGGACTTTCTGGTCAGAACTATGGGGAGCGGGGAAGAAGTTTCTAGTGGGGGAGAGCAAGATCAGATCCCAGGACTGGCTGCCGAGAGGAAGGTTTGGAGGGGACGAGAGGGGGCAGGGGAGCAGCTGTGATCCAAGGTGGGAGAGCAGGGGGCTCGGGGGGGGTGGGGGACAGAAGAGAGACTTGGTGGGGGAGGAGGCACCAGGTCCCCAGCTGGCTTTCTGGATGGTTCCCGGGAGCTTCGTGTGCTGAGACCACAGTGAGGAGGTCTGTTTGAACTTTGTTGCTTCAGATGCTGGAAATCATGGTTTGCCCCTGGCCTGAAAACCTCCTCATTTTTAATCAATTTGTCTCAATCATTTATTAATCAATTAACAAATGCGTCTCCAATTTTAGCACAAGTGAAAAGTAACAGTATTAAAAAAACCCAACCACTTTCTTCAAAGTCAGCGGCAAACTGTGAGCTTTAAAATGGGCTTCAAAATAACTTATACAAAAATACGTCCTTCTGGAGAAAAGGTGGCGAGTGCAGTATAAAGAAGGAAACAGACACCACCCAGGACTCCCCACAGAGAGACGCCATTGCTGACGTTTTGGGTACTTTTTCTGAATATAAAAATATCTTTATTTAAGAGATCAGTCTTACATACACCCTTTATCCTGATTTTTAAATTTACGTGGTCTCACTTCCCCAGGTGATGCACACAGTTTGGAATGGCCCCTCTTCCCTTTTATAGATGTGCCGCAATTTAACCGTCTCCCTACTGTCAGACGCTGTGTTTGTTCCTCATATTTTGTTATTATAAATACTGCAGCCATGAACATCTTTTACACAGATGTCGAAGTATTCACATTACTTCTTGGCCAGATTCCTAGATGTTGAACTTATTCATGTAATTAACACATACTGATGGAGCCCCCACTGTGATGAAGGCTTGCCTAGGCCCTGGATTCTCGGGCCAGAGGGAGCATTTTTCAGAACCTTTGAACAGAATTCCATATCGTTGTGCAGAAAACGCTGTTTTACTTTGTTTCAGCCAATGGCGTGTTAGGGGCAGTCCCGTTGTAGCCTGGCCAGCACTGCATGTGGTCACGGAAAAAATCTTGGCTGTAAAATTTAGGTAGTCGGTCTTGCCGGGCAGAGCTTTCCTGGGCCCAGGAAGGTGAAAGATACAGTCCTCACTCCAGAGGTGGGAGGGCTGTGATCTTCCGGGAGAGCGATGGACACTCTGAGGCCGACTCAAGGGCACCGGAGGGGAGGTGGGGACAGTCAGGACGGGGTGGCCTGGGACAGACCTCGGGCCACTGAGCAGCAGCGAGGCCAAGGCTGCCTGCCGGCTGGGGACGCTCTAAAATCACTCTGGGGAGTGTCTGGTGTGTGGACTGAAGGGAGTGTTTGGATGTTGGGGATCCTAAGGGTGGAGGGGCAGAGCCTGAGGGCTGCCCACTCAACACCTTTTCCCCGTCTTCCTTATCACCAGGCCCTGCCTCACCGAGCCCCCTTGCAGCCCTGAGTGATGAGCCACTGTTTGGTAAATCTGTTACCAAATAGATAAGCGATAAGCGTGTGAATAGAACTGATTCCTCCTAAAAGCACATGTTTTCATCCTTGTTTGGCTTATTTCCTGGAAGACCTTTGTAAGGGTTTGTATTTGGCCTGCTGGGGGTCGTGGGACCACGGGGCTGGGTGGGACGCTGCCCCCTCCTCCCAGGGGGTGGCGTCACATCCTGTGTCTCACAGACCACAAGACACTTTGTGGTGCCATGGGCTCCCCGTACCTTGGGGAAATCTCAACCGAGACTGAATACTAGCATGTCCTATGATCACATGGCTCCATCTTTATATTTTTTAGGGGGGTAATTAGGTTTATTTAGTCATTTAATGGAGGTGCTGGGGATTGAACCCAGGACCTCGTGCATGCTGGGCACACGCTTTACCACTGAGCTACATCCCCACATCTTTATTGACATGGAAGGGTGTGGGGCACAGGCCATCTGCCTGTCTGCAGAGAGGAGTGTTTGGAAGGTGCTCCAGTCGCTAACAGTGGTGGCATTTTGGGTCAGTTTTATCTTCTATTTTTCTGATTCGGGGAGGGGGGGTAAAGACAGAATGTACTTTGTAGGAGACAATGCTAATATTAGTAGTAACACCCTCATGGAAGGGTTTTGTTCTCTAGCTGCGTCCTTCACACACTAGGGGCAGCGTGGTCTAGTGCAGATACATCAGAAGCATCTGGAACTTGTGGGCCC